AAGCACTTCTGGGGAAAAATATTTTGACCACTTAAAGTATTTGACATTCAGCATCCAATATTAATATTAGTTAATAGTGAATCATCAGCACACACTGCACATTATGTCTTGTGTTTATTTGTCAAAAGTGTAGCCTCATGGTATATATGATGACGATCAACCAACCATATCTTGAGTTGTGCCAACTGTACCTTGGGCTGCATCAAGAGAAGTGTGACCAGTCCCTCCATCTACAAGAAGGGCCGTAAGGAGGATCCGGGGAACCACATGCCTGTCAGCCTGACCTCGGTACCAGGGAAAGTTATGGAGCAAATCATCTTGGTGAGATCGCACGGCATGTGCATGGTGTCCTGGGGATCAGGCCCAGCCAGCACGGGTTCATGAAAGGCAGGTCGTGCTTGGCCAACCTCCTTCTACGACTGGGTGACCAGACTGGTAGATGAGGGAAGGGCTGTTGATGTAGTCCGCCTAGACTTCAGCAAAGCCTTTGACACGGTCTCTCACAGGCTTCTTTTGGGGAAACTGGCTGCCCATGGCCTGGACAGGTACACACTGCTTTGGGTAAGGAACTGGCTATAGGGCCGTGCCCAATGGCTACTGGTTAATGGAGTGAAGTCCAGCTGGCGACCTGTTTCAAGTGGTGTCCCCCAGGGGTCGGTACTGGGGCCCATCTTGTTTAATATCTTTATTGATGACCTAGACGAGGGCATTGAGTGTACCCTCAGTAAATTTGCAGATGACACCAAGTTGGGAGGTGGTGTGGATCTGCCTGAGGGTAGGGAGGCCCTTCAGAGGGACTTAGATAACCTGGATTGCTGGGCTGAGGTGAATGGGATGAGGTTCAACAAGGCCAAGTGCCGGGTCCTGCACTTTGGTCGCAACAGACCCATGCAGTGCTATGGGCTTGGGGATGAGTGGCTGGATGATTGTGAAGACGAAAGGGACCTGGGGGTGTTGGTTGATGCTCGGCTGAACATGAGCCAACAGTGTGCCCAGGTGGCCAAGAGGGCCAATGGCATCCTGGCCTGCATTAGAAATAGCGTGGCCAGCAGGAGCAGGGAGGTGATCATCCCCTGTACTCAGCTCTGGTGAGGCCGCACCTCAAGTGCTGTGTTCAGTTTTGGGCCTCTCACTACAGGAATGACATTGAGGCCCTGGAGCGTGTCCAGAGAAGGGCAACGAAAGTGGTGAGGGGTCTGGAGCACAAGTCTTATGAGGAGCGGCTGAAGGAGCTGAGGTTGTTTAATCTGGAGAAGAGGAGGCTCAAGGGAGATCTTATTGCTCTCTACAACTTCCTGAAGGGAGGCTGTGATGAGGAGGGGTTTGGCCTCTTCTCCCAGGCAACGAACCGGACCCGAGGAAATGGCCGCAAGTTGTACCAGAGGAGGTTTAGGTTGGACATAAGGAAGCACTTTTTCTCTCAGAGAGTGGTCAGGCACTGGAATGGCTGCACAGGGAGGTGGTGGAGTCGCCATCCCTGGCAGTGTTCAAGAGGCGCCTGGATGAGGATCTACGAGGTATGGTTTAGTGCTTGTGGTAGCAGTGGTGATGAGAAGACGGTTGGACTAGATGATCTTACAGGTCGTTTCCAATCTTGTGATTCTATGATTCTATGAATAGTTTGAGAGAGGTGACTCTGTCCATCTACTCTGCTCTCATGAGACCTCACCTGGAGTACTGCATCCACTTCTGGGATCCCCAGCACAAGAAGGACACGGCACTGTTGGAGCAGGTCCAGAGGAGAGCCATGAAGATGATCAGAGGGTTGGAGTTCCTCCCCTATGAAGACAGGGTGAGAGAGCTTGGGGCTGTTCAGACCAGAGAAGAGAGAGTCCTGGGGGGACCTTATAGCAGCCTTCCAGTACCTAAAGGGGGCCTACAGGAAAGATGGGCAGGGACGTTTTATAAGGGCATGTAGTGATAGGACAAAGGGAAATAGTTTTAAACTGACAAAGGGTAGGTTTAGACTAGATATTAAGATGAAATTCTTTACTGTGAGGGAGGTGAGACATTGGAACAAGTTGTCCAGTGAGGCTATGGATGCCCCATCCCTGGAAGCATTCAAGGCCAGGCTGGATGTGGCTCTGAGCAACCTGATCTAGAGAGAGGTGGTTGGAACTAGGTGATCTTAAAGGTCCCTTCCAACCCAAACCATTCTATGATTCTATGATTTTATGTTCTGCTACAAGATCCTGTAAAGGATGTTTCCAGCATTAATTACAGTGAAACCTGTGTTCCAAATATTTTTAAATCACCAAGATTCTGAACACCACTTGGTCTTGAAATAATGGACCTTAAGCAAATTCTTAATCATTAATTCTGCAGTTGAAAGGCCAAAATGGTAGGTGAAACATGAAAAATGTTGGGAATAAATGTAAAGCTCTTGTTCCATTTACTCTTCCCCTGACAGCAAAGCCACGATATGAGTTCCATGCCCCAGTTTCACCTTCACATTTTCACTCAATTTTTAGGGACTGTTGCAACAGTGAAATATTGCTAAAAACCTCCCTGGCATGTGGAACCAAGCTATTTTGCCCCAGTTCTGTACACAGTTTCAGTAAATGACAGTGAGAAAGAAAGGCTGAGCAGAATTAAGGGAAAAATGAGATAAGGCAGAAGGTTGGTAGAACGCCTTAAGATGGAATCACCGTCAAAAACTACTGAATCACATTTCACATCCATGTCCTAAAAGGTGGGAAATAGCAATGAGTGTTCTTATGTCAGCATGCCCTATCTTTTTCTGAATGATGATTATTGACAAGTGACCACTCAGTACAAATAATTGTAGTGTACTGTATGTAATGTGTTTCATGGTTTGTTAACACCTGAAATTTCATTTCTGTCCTCCAGTATCGTGGAATATACAGTGTAGTATCCTTACCAGCTTCTGAAATAAACTGTGACTGAGCACCAAGTATCTCGCCCTGATTTTGACCCAAGATATTCCAGTACATACCGCTTCACACTGAATCATGTAAAATCAGTTACTGAACAAATTTGACAGGAAACACAGCAATACTTGCTTATCTAGATGAGATCAAGCCTGAGTCCTTGTAAATGATGTACTAGGCATTGCTTTAGCTCCACAGAAAGCAGTAATTCTGCAATGAGAATTATGCAGTCTTTATTGGACCATAAAATTAAAATAAGGAATACCCTAAGGAAAACAAATTTAAAGATACTGAAGTGAGATACACTTTCCTGAAAAGTAGACCAAACTTGTAGAATTTTCTGTAGTTGAGATTATCATGTTGAACACTGTTCTGCAAATAGATAAACTGGTGTTAGAATCTGAAGGAGCCAAAGTTGTCAAAATTATGCGGATCTAAGATCTTCAAAATAAGCTGATCATCTGCCAACATCAGAATGCTTGCTTTGCTGTCTTACATCCCACTAAACCCACTAAAGTCAGCTTACCACTCACCACACCAAGCGCTGAATGCACACACACAAATGTGACCATTTCATGGCCTTATTTACGTGCTGCTGTTAATTGCTTTTCAGTCTTCTAGAGAATGTCACAGTTTACTGGACAAGGTTTCTACAAACCATGAGAGGTAGTTCTCCGACATGAGATTTTCAGCAGACATAACATTTAATCACCCTCAGTAACAACATGAGTCTTTTGCCATTCACATTTTACTTAAAATTGTTAAACTTGAGAGCTTAATTACCAGTGAGATTTTTGCTTCAATCGGGAAAAAAATATTTTATTAATGCAATCAAACATCATAGACATCCTGCTAAAATCTCTATGAGAGTAAAACAAGCCAAGCATACAACACAGAAGAAAACTTTCCCCAAATCCTCATATAAACTAATAATGCAGTGGAAAAATACTGAAATACAAGAAAAAGCATGAAAGCTCATAACATACGTGCAATGCTAATCAGATTCAACAGGTTCCCAACTAATGCATATCAGGTAAGATGGAAATAGCTTAAAGCCAAAGGACATTTAAAATAATAACCCTGTAAAAACTACAACGACCTTAAATTCACGTCATCTGTTACTCTCTCTTGTTATGACATTATATAAAGGGCTGAAATGACTCCATCTGGAACATCTGGAACACTTCATCAGCTACAGGAAAGAAGGGGACAGGCTCTTCAGCACGGTCTGTTGCGACACAAGGGGAGATGGTTTCAAGTTTAAAGAGGGTAGATGTAGGTTGGATGTAAGGAAAAAGTCTTTTACAGTGTAGGTGGTGAGGCACTGGCACAGGTTGCCCAGGGTGGTGCTGGTGCCCCATTCCTGGAGATGCCCAAGCTCAAGCTGGACAGGCTCTGAGTACCTGATGGAGCTGTGGGTGTCCTTGTTTGCTGCAGGGGAGTTGGACCAGATGGGCTTTAAGGGTCCCTTCCAACTCTAAGGATTCTATGATTCTATGAAGTGTCCAAGGAAAAAAAAAAAAAAAGAAAGAAATTCAGACAACAAATTCAGTAATAAGACAAATGAGCTCTCAGCTTTCAAATGCTATCAGCCATTAAATAATTCAGAACACAAAATAATCACCGAGGGAAGCAGCTACCGACAGCGCGCTTCTCATCAATCACCGCCCGCACGGCCGGGGCAGCTGCAGACCCGCGGGTGGCGGGCGGAGCCTTGCTGGTGCACAGCGCCTGCAAACAACCGCACAGAACAAAAGCGTCCTTTCCACCTTACCCTTCGCCGCATGAACTTCCTCTGCCTTTCTCAGCTAAAGGTGCGGCCCATCTCTGATCCTACCAGATCATCCTTCTCTTCCTGCCTTTGAGATCCTGCAATTCTGAGACTTCTCGTGGTTTAGAACGTGTTTTTACAGAGCGCTAACGGCCACCGCAACCAGGATTTGCCGTTGGCGAGCTCGGCCGCTTTCCCGTGTGTAAACGTCACTACTTCTCCCCTCCAGCTCTCCCAGCTCTCCCCAGCTCAGCCATCCAGCAGGCGGCAGCGCCCCGGCCCGGCAGTGCCGTGGCCGCCCGGCCGCCGCTCCGCCCCGTCTCGCTCCTTCCGCCGCAGCCGTGAGCGCGGTGCGGAAAGGCGCGCGGCTGGCCGTGCTGTGGTCCGGGCCGGGGTAAGGCCGGCCGAAGCCGGGTGCTGCCGGCTGTGCTTGCGTATCCGAAACCCGGCGGGTTCCGATGAAAGCAGAGATGAAGGTCGGCTGCCTTTCCTTCCGCCAGCCCTACGCCGGGCTGGTTTTAAACCAAGTCAAGACCATAGAGACTCGCTGGCGGCCGCTGCTCGCCAAGTACCGGAACCGCACCGTGGCCGTTCATATCGCCGTTAAGGACTGGGAGGATGAGTCGTGGAGGGCGATTCTTTTGGATAGGCTGGGAATGACGCTGCAGGAGGTGCAAGAGCTGCTGGATAAAGGGGAGCAATTCGGCAGAGGAGTTATCGCAGGTAAGCAGCTCCGGGCCGTGCGTTTCCTAGAGAGCTTTTCGTCTGTCGGCGTGTTTTCTTCAGACGGGTGCGTGCCTGCTTTGCACGGCCGGGCTCGTCGTGGCATCGCCATCCGGCTGTGCTGGGTGCTGCTGCTGCTCCCCGAGCTGGGCAACTCTGGTGGCAGTTCCACTTTCTTTTTTTTTTATTTTTGAGCTTAGGAAATCTTGCAGCGTTTTACGGTACTCGTGGTCAGGTGAACTTAAGATATGGCATTGCTTTTCATGTGTTAGATCAATTCTGTTTCAGTTCTACAGCTGCTCTGCCAGTCTTATTACTTGGGCAGTGAATGATCTTATTTCTGTAGCACAAAGCTAGGATAGAGTGATGCTTCTTAAATTATTTTGTGCAGAATGTAGGAATGGAATGTTGTTTCTGCTTTGGATATTAAAAATGGGAATTGATCTGAAGAAGTAGAGCAAAGTGTTTTTGTATTTCGTAACTTGTCCTTAGAAATAGCTGGTGTGAAAAGGTAGGAATACCATATATGTTAGTAACATACTTTAGAAATATAGTTGCTGAATTGTGTGATTAATTCTTGCTTGCAAAACTGCAATAGTTTTTAAATGTTCCAAATAGTATAGGTATAATATTATGGACTAGAAAGCATATTGTAGGGCTGTTCTCTATTTGGACAAGAGATCCTCAGCAAAAGAAAAACAGGCTTAACAAAAACAGCAAAGAAGCCAGAGCCTCTGCACACGGCTGGATTGCTTCGCTCTGTGGGCAGGTTGGGATGCAACAGGCAGACATCGGGATACTCCCCTCTGTCCTCCTTCCAAGCTTATCTCTATGCAGGGACAAGCAGATGTCCAGAAACGATGACCAAGTGTTGAATGAGCAAATGTGAGAAGTTAACTAATTAGTGATATATGCTTAGCTAGCAAAAATTGAAGCGTCGAGTAATGGGGCATAAAAGATGGAACGCTGTTTTCTGCATGCTCTCCTGCTTGCAGGAGGCCCAACATTGCGATTGGGAATAAAATCTGCTTTATCAGAGATACCATCCTGAGAAATTATTTGGCGATTTCCAACAAGAAGAATATGTTAGTGCTCTGAATACTCACAAAGTTTGTGTCAAACGTTCCCTCTTATTGTACGTGTCAAATCAATTTTCACATCCTGTATCTCGTGTTCTCATTTGCATATTTTTAGCTATTCCTGCAAGAGAAATTACTTCTATCACATGTTCCAGGAGATTGTTCTGGTTCTGTGGTGGTGAAAATTGTTAGGTGCTAAGGAATGCGTGGATTGGTAACCTTCATGTAAACTGCATGCTAAACTGAGTAGTTGTAAAAGCTTCCTTGGTAATTTAGTACTTCTAATCTTTAAACAACATTGAAATTCCCTCTTGCAACATGTAATAAAGTAAGTAAATTTTACAAGAGTAAAAAGGGTTCCAAAGAGCAGGAATTTCCATACGGCTTAATGATTTTAAGGTGTTAGTGAAGTCCTGATGGGAGGTGACAGATCAATGAACCTGTTTCAAGGACAAATGTAGGTGAGAAATTTTTGCTAGTTGTTCTGTCTGATTAGTTGCAGGCTTCTACTAACAGAATTATCTATCACTGAGCTGTATTACTGCATGCTTCTGCTGTTCTTCAGCTTACTGTCTTCTTCTGGCAGCATAAATTAGCAGCTTTTTATGTCCTCTGGGAGGTTTTACTTTTGGAAAACTTTTTTCTAGTTTCTCAAACTGTTTTGTTTTCTGATACAGGATTAGTTGACATTGGAGAGACATCCCTGTATCCAGATGATTTACCTCCTGAAAAGATTTTGGAGCTGGAAAACAAAGCTGTTCTCAGTAATCTAGAACAGAAATACTTGACTGTTGTTTCAAATCCAAGATGGCTTCTGGAACCAATCCCTGCAAAAGGGAGCAGAGGAGTGTGGCAGGTCAACATCCCTGATGAACTGATCCCTTCAGAATCATAGGAGTTGGCCCAAACTGCATCTTCTTCTGCCTAAATGCAAACTTCTTGACAGATCACCTGCTTAAAATACCAGTGAATTGAACAGTATTCCCTCCAGAAGTAATTGCTTGAAGAATTACTATTTTGAAGGGAGATAATGAAGATCCCCTTTTTTATGATCATTACTGAAAATGAGTGATGTTTTACTAGAAGTTTTATGTACATATAAGTGTAAATAAATCCTAATTTTATAGTGCATGGCCGAGGTAACGTGTTCTGATTTAAAATGACTCCAGCCTAATGTTACGTGATGCATGTGTATCTGGTTATATATGTAAAAAAAAAGTATTCAGAGAAAAAAAGAAAAGAAACTAACACTAGCAACCTCTCAGTCAGCTGCTGTATCTGAAGCAATTTCTTCAAATTTGGGATTACAAACCACCACTGGGAAACAATTGCTTAAAAGATTGCATGAATCTCATACACTGATCTTGAACTCTTTTGTCACATGAAACAGAGGCGTTACTGTGCTATTCTTCATTTCTAAATGAAATGATTTTCTAGTAGCAAGCCCACACATTCTCTTCAATGAAAGCCAGTGATGCTCACCCCTCTTGGTTTTGGTCTGAAGCTGTTCTCTTTTGGGTGCTAAGCAGGATTCCAGTTAAATAAAAAAAAGGATAGGAGAACTGGAGAAGACTTTTTATTAAGACAGATTATTTGAACATTCACATGTCTTGCCTTGGAGCTGCTGAGCTCCTTGGGTGGCATTTGTTCTATTATGCACACAGGGTAGGTGCAGAGAATATGCTCTGCTTTGTTTGTACCAAAGCTTCACTTGCACTTTGGCAGCAGGTAAAGACAATCCTTATTAAGTTTGGGCTGCAGTAGAAAGATCACTGAAAAATGCAAAGGAGATGGCTGCCACCACTTCAACATTGAAAAACAGAGATAACTAAATATCTTAATCTCAAAACATATTAAAAAGGACTTTCAGGAGCATTCTCTCCCTTTTCATAGATTCAGAACAACTGGAAATAACCAATCTGCATTTGAGCAGCATAGAAACACTTTCTGAATTCTGACAAACAAAAAGCAGTCAGTGCACATATTATCATTCTCAGCTCCTACACTGAAAATGCTTGTTTGAACATAAATGTGACAAGCGTTCTGAGAAATTAGCTCACACAAAGAGGACCCGACATCTGCCCCCCAGCTGCTGCTTCACGTTGAGAGCTTTTGAACACACCAAAGCTTGGAAGTATTATCTGCTGAATCCCCAGAGATGAAGGTCATGAGTAAGATGTTTCATGTTTCCAATTCCAGAACTTTCCAATGGCCCTCTCCTTACTTGCACTTCCTTTTCAAGCTGTTCTAGATAAATCACCACACACTGTCCATTATCATCCCACTGAAGAGTCTGAAATGGAGTGCTTTCAGGAAGGCTCCAAAGCTGCTTAAAAAAAAATTAAATATATATATATATATATAAAGAAAGAAAGATGGAAAGCTACAGCTCCCATAGAGCTCTCCTTAGTAGAATTAAGCACATTCTTTTTACCTGGGGTTGATGGAAAAGCCTTTTCTAGTGGAGTTCTTGGGGTAGTACCAGAAGCCTCTCTTTTGCCACTTACTAGTTGAGTCTGCCAAGTTAGCTAGCTTGTTCAGAAGACCAGCAAACCTTCTGGTGAAGAAAGCTCTATTTTTTCTCAGCTTAGCTGAATCCTTCAGCAGAAGGTAATTACAGCACCAGCTGGGCTGCATCCTGCTAGCCAGGCCACTAGGAACAAATGGCACCAGCTGAGAAGTTGGTCCACAGGGAGGAACAAGGTGGGCTGCAGCACTAGAAATTAAGTGGAAGATCTTTGCAGCTTTTCAGCTGAACACTTTTCATACACATAGAAGTGTCCATACACTCTTATCATTGCCATACTGAGAGAGGAAATATGATTCATGATATTTAAGCTAAGCTGGGGGTTTGTACAAACAGAAAGAGGAAGTACAAGGCACAGACAGCCAGTGTAGGTGGTAGAACTTGGTGGAATATAGGTTTCAAAGACTAATTTCTCTAAAGCAGCTGGATGCCGAGTAAACCAGTGAAAGCAGATCTCTCCTCAAATGAAAACAACTATACCAACATGGACCAGTTCCTATTTTGAACAGTTTAATCATCTGTACTAAAGATACGATACAGAAAAGTTGGTAACGAAGACTGAGTTAAGATATGTCACCTAACCAACAGCTGTAAAACCTGCAACTAATCTTTCTGGCATAGATTACGCACACAATGCAAGAGGCAACAGTTTATTAAATAGCCAAACTAATGACAGAGTGGCATACACGTTGCTCAGGAGGAGTTAGAAAGTGAACCTGGAAAAGCAACTTCACTCCCAAGCCACTGCAAAAACTGAAGTATGTAACAATCTACATAGCTAACTCAAAAGCATCACGTAAGCTGCTGTACATTCGATTTCCTCCCAAAAATCTTTCCAGTCCTTCCTTCGAAGCACAACAACATCTGTGCTTTCACAATTAAACTAATGATTGTGGCTGAACAGAAAAAAAAAAAAGAGTAAAGAGGTACTATATCAAGATATCCACAAACTACTCAGCACAGACATGGAAAATGAGTGTATATTTATAACCCAAAAGACACTTGGAATAGAATAGGCATTTCATACAGGCTTTTTAAAAAAATACTTTTAGATAATACTTATACTGTACAGGACGAGACTTTTAAACAATATATTACACTGCTAAAATGTTCATATAAATACTATACAGGCATGTCTGCCAGGTGAACCATTAGGAAGGTTCACAAAATCTCTGTGGAAAAACTTTCAATCTTCAAGATCTCAGATTTCTGTGATCCAAGCCACTGAATCAAGCAAAAGCTATTTTAAATTAATTGGGACAAGGCATGAGATGAACTGCATTTGTCTGTTGATTCCCAGTTCCAGTTTTAACAGGTTGTCGTCATCTTAATCTGGCATATCGATATTTAATTTGGGAGGTGGAATCACGTATTTCCCAGGACTCTGTGTAATGACCACTCCAGTCTTTTTTCGAAACATCGGTGCAATTTTTGGTTGCTCAGGAACTGGGGTTTCTTCTGCTTCCTCATTATCTTCGTGATGAAGATCATACGAAATATTTCCATATTCACGTAGGAATGGGAAAATCTCAAGCAGGAACTGGCAGAAGTCTTTGCGAATTCCAAACCACCCTAAAAAAACAAACCACCACATTTCACATGACTACCAAACAGAGTTAAAAGTTAACTGAAGAAACCAAGACTACTTCATCTGCCTTCTTAGGTTCTCTTGACTGTTTTCATTAGCAATCTAAAATTTATGTTAGTGCTGTTTCTCAGCATCACTGACAGCAACCATAACATTACAGGTCAGATGATACATACACACGTGTGCATATGTACATATTACAGCTATATACTATAGCAAGAAGCCAGTACAATTCATGTTAAGCAGCACTTCAGTAAATAAACAGAACAAAGAAGGCCTTGCACTACTCCAACAATCAAAAACTGCCACCTGAGAAGACATTCATGCCAATTTTCATTTGATATGCATAGGTTACAGTACCAGAGATGCTGCAATGACATAGATTTACTAATATATGTCAGGCTATGTGTCCAGTATTCCCCAAATACTTCTGTTGTTAGCTTGACAGTAGTATCTCATCCTCAGTATTATCTATTCTAGATTAAAACAACAGTACCTCTTCTGTTTGTCATGTACTTTCTATATAAACATTTGAAAGACAGCATTTAATGAAATGCCACTTGTGACTCAGTAGATGGCACTCTTTTATTAATGAATATCAAAGGTCAGTGTTGAGCAGCCTGCCCCACCAAGTCAAACCTTTCAGTGAACCAAGGTAAGGTAATTAAAGATTTGCCTGGGAAGATCCTATAAAACCCATACCCATCATTTTGCAGAGATTATCCTTGATGACCAACTGCTCCATTTCATATATCATACAACCCTAACAAAAGATAAAATGGATGTCTGCCTTTCCAAACTAATTTGGCCGCGAATTATCAACAGCGTGAAAATTCACCCTGAACAATTTTCTACGTAGCTTCCTTTCAACTCTGAAAAATCCTACTACGTTACATTGCCTTGTTGTGAAAAAACACCTAACTGCAACATCCATAGCAACAATTAATAAATACTTACAGTGATTTCCTCCTTTTTGCCCAAATGTTGTTGCCATTAAAGTTATCAGTGAAAGCCACAGAGGAACAAATATGGGTATAAAAGAGAAAGAATTGTGCCCATCAAGTCTGTGTACTAGTAAAATCTAAACAGGAAAAAAATATACAACGTCAGTTTGTAATATCCATCTCCAAGTTTCTCTAAAACATACAGTGATCTTGAACCTTTAGCTTCAGAAATTTAAGGAAAACAGCCTCTACAGCAGTACGAATTAGCAGGTTCACTGTGAAGCAGATTTTACACACAAACATTCAAAAACATGATTCTTGGTTTTCCTTCATATTTACAGTTAATATTTATTCCCAAAAAACACAGGGCATCTTAATTTCAAGTTTAGAGAGACAGAGAGAGAGAGCACACACACAATATTCGTCACTCACTGAACAAAGAACAAGATACACAAAACTCCTTACACTTCATCCTACCTCAAAGGTGAGCAGTGGAACTACAATTGTCATCCAGCTGACAGCCATTGTGATGTGTGTCCTCCTTTGTTCAGCAATCACATCCATTGAACGCAAGAACAGAACAGACCAAACAATGTAGTAAAGCACTACTAGGCACAGAAAGGACATCAAGATCCACAATGGAACGCAAACAACCTGAAAGAAAAAAAGAAGTTTACTGCTTTCTGCCCTACCCAATGGTGCACTTTCAGTCTTTATTTATTTATATAAAGTATGAACAGTAAGTTACAGTAAGTATCCACACGTTAAGACTAAAAAAGAAGAATAAAATCAAGGGTAATTCTCCAACCCATTTCATGTCTAACAAAAAAGCTTCAGAAGTCATAGGGACAGTTATGAGCCATATCAACTCTCAGGAATTCCTCAGTAAGCTCTGTGAACTCCATCAAGCCGAAACAATCAAAAGTGAAAATAGTTCTGCTTCAGTAAAACTTTCGTGATTTTGACTGGGCTCAAACAGTACTTGAAATTGACTTCAACGTTTTCTACATTGGACAACTTACTCAAGGAGTTTTCTAAAGGAGATCCTTTACCATGTTTTTTGGAAAATAGT